TTTTTTTTTTAATTTCATGAAAGGGATACCATTTTAAAATATCGCACGGGACATCCAAAATTTCAGGACCGGCCTTGAGCAAATCCTCGTACTATCCTGTTAATATATTTTTTTCCTGTGCATTCTAGTAGCATTGGATAGTTGGTGGGTAATTTGAAAATTTGTTTATTGAGTTTGGACATATAAAAGTTAGGTTGGGGTTGAGCTTCAATTTTCAAACAAAATTTGATCTTTTTTTAGATACTGAACAAAAGGGAAGGGATTCCCCTTGCCTCGCTCTGCCTCATGTATCATTTTTTTGCCTCGAAATTGCCTTGCCGCCTCGATTAAGTGTGTATTCCCACCCAAAAGGGAGCGAGGTACCGTAAGGTTCGAGTTTTGGTTTAATCTGTCATTTCTAATTATTAAAAGCTCTTAAGAGTTGCAAGCCATATTTTACGCTTTAGAACGTTGCTAATTATGCTATTAAAAATAAAGATTGGTTACTATAATGCAACTCGATCAATGTATAATTTTTCATCTGACTGTGAAGATCTCTGTGATTTTTTTCTCTTCTCTTCATTTAGCAAACTTTTCTTGGCTAGATCCATTGTGATGACAACATCCGGAGCAAAGTTAGATAATGAATCTCTCATGAGTCTGGTATTGAACCAAGCAACCATAACTCTTGAATCTCATCGTCAAACTTAATACACATTCCAACCAACTGATTAATAATTCCTTGGAATGTATTCAGACAATCAATTAGCGCCTGTTTGGAAGGGATTTTCCCAAGTTTTGAAGCAATTTTATAACCGTTGGGCAACTCAGAAGTGGGGCCCATTGTAGCTGTTGACTTTGTTTGCCCTTCCACTAAATTATCACAATTTTCAAATATGTCATTTAAGAATAATCAAATATGATGATTGGAAGAAATGTGTATAAAGTAATTCAAAGTAATAAAAAGGGTACTATAGACTTTGACCATTTTTAGGTGATAGTTTCTACTGATGGCTTAATTGCATGATAGCAATGGAAAGGCAGATCGGTCATATTTGGGCTAAAAATATTGGGTAAATCCCTCACAGACATGTTCTTAAAGGAGTTTCATTATGGTATCTCAACGCCATCATCTGCTTAATCAGAATCATCTTATTATTTCCAATCTTTTCTAGCATATAATTGTTCAAACTTACTCCATAAAGTACGAGCGCGTGTCTCCCCACTAACATGGTTCAAATCATTATCATCTACACATTGCCTGATATACCCACAGACTTGTCGATGCAACAAACTTCATTCTTCATTTGACTTGTAATTCGGTGTTTTAGCTATAAATACCGGTAGGTAATAATCTTTCATATAAAGAAGATCCTCCATTTTTCCTTTGCATATGTGATAATTTAAATCATTCGAGTTAATCATTTTACTCAAATTCGCTTCCATAATCGAAAACTCAAATCTTAGAAGCTGGCTCTAATCCACTTGTCGGGAGATATGCAAACAAAAAACACATAGCGAAATAATCCTTTTCCCAAAAACAAACAAGTAAAACGTCTTTTTTGACAATTCTATATGCTAAAAATATTCTTAGAAAAATCAATCACACCATACTACAAGAATACAAACAATTATTTTACATTGAAAAACTTCCCCGATGTGAGGAATAAAATATCACGGGACTTAGTTCAGTCAAAACATCCACTATCAATCAAATGATGGGCACACAAAATCTTCTCTAATCACAACTAGATGCTACATCGTATATTTTTCCAAGTTAACAAAAATCTTGGTAAAACAATATGAAGTAGGAAAAATATACCGATAAATCCAATTCCTGTTCACGCACATTAACCAATGTTCCCGAACTCAAAATCTGATCTCCACTGTTCAGATTGTAATTCTGTATCTTGTGAACATCTCCTCCAAATTTCAGCTCAATTGGACCACTGATGACTCGGGATCGGAGCTTTGATGAAATATGGGCGTAGAGAGACAGAGAGAGAGAGAGAGGGATGTGAGTTCAAATTAAGGAAAATGACACAATTTGGAGAGTAATTAACAAATCTGAAGATTGGGAATGATATCCAGCCAATGCAGAGCAACTATATGTAGCATGTCATTGCCATATCATCTTATAATCTTGTAAAGAGGATGATAGCATATTAGAATCAGGGCCTGGCCTTGAGTTTGATATTGGGGTGTCAAATGGGCAGAGCTATGGATTGGGTTGCCCCACCTTTGAAGGCAGGCTTCGAAAAAGAGCTTGTGAGCCTTGCCAGCTGTGCCGTCCACCTAACCCGGGGCTAGTCTGGGCCAAGCTTCAGAACTGCCAGGTGGTTTGCTACAACTGTTAGGTGGATGGAACTCGAAGAGTGAGGCTCCACGAAAGAGCGAGGAGTGGAAGTGCAACCTGCATGTTGCTGGGTAGTCATTGCATCTTGCCATTTTTGGTAAACATCTGTTCATGGATAAGGCAGATCAACTAGCATATAATTCATGAAGACATTTGGGGACTATTGTTACAGGTCAATATATGAAAGTGACACGGGGCAGCGTATTTTAGCGGTGGGACCAGCTT